TCGCAGCTGAGCTGGTGCCACTGAAAACTCGAGGTTCCCTCACACCAGTTCTGTACCCAGGCTGCTCTGCTCTTGCTCCAGGATTTATTCCCCTCCCTGCCTCGAACTCATTTGTGCACAGCTGGGGATTGATCCCTAATTCAATCCAAACCCACAGCAAGCGGGAATGAGGGAGGGCACCCGGGGGGACCTGCATGTGCCAAAGCACTTGGCTGTGAGGAACAGCATTGTTACTGCCCAGGATGGAATGCTGGAGTCACCTGGCATCAAAACAAGGCAGAGCTGCAGCCATGGACACATTCAGGACATACAGCCAGGGCCATGGATACATCCAGAGGGAGAAGAGTCCTCAGGGATCGTCACCCACCAGGATCCTGACCCTGAGCTGTGCCCCTGCTGCCTGGGCAGTTCACCCTTAGAGCCTCATGCTTCACCCCCTCTGGCAGAGCCCCTCCGAGGGCAGGGATGGCCCCTGGGCTCATCCCACCTCCCACTCTGGAGCCTCCGAGGGATCAATGGCAAAAGGATGAGATGGTTTTTTGACAGTGAATGAAATAGGATTTGTGCTGCTGGTGATGAGAGTGGGACCCATCTGATCCTCATGGCGATTCAGAGAGGCTGATGCTGGGGTGGCAGAACTGCTCCTGCCACAGCCCCATGTCCCAGCACACAAAATGGGTGAGAAAAAGCATTTTAGCAGTGAGTGGGTGACCCTGCAGCTGTGATATCCTAACCCACCCAGCTCACTGCAAGCCCTGGGGTCCCCTCTGGGTGTACACGCACTGCAAAAGCCTCTGCTCTGGGCTGGGTCACAACTCACTCCCTGGGCTGTGAAGATGCATCTCATCCTGTCAGCATGGCAAGTGGCTGCTGGGGACACTGGGACAGGCTGGCAGGGGATGCAGGACAGTGCTGGAGCTGCAGGTTCTTCAACAATTACACCCACTCCAGCCCAAATTTCATCTCATATTTTGCTACAGCACGACTAAAGCAGTTAAGAGGAAAGGCCTGGGGGAAAAGTGTTTCAGGCAACAATCCTGGTAAGACTCTGTCTGGACTTGTCTGGCCACAAATCCATCTATTTTGGTACAATGCCTGGACCTGCCACTTGCAAATGTGACCTAATGAGTCTCCTGCAGCCTCTGGAGTTTGCTTCTTATCCACTGGAATGACACCTCTCATGCTGGTCCTGGTGTCCCTCTGGATGTCTCTGCCTTGCTGTGTTGAACAGCATCTCATGGCTTTCCTCTGGGTCTTCCTCCAACCAAAACTACTTGCATGTACTTCAATATGAAAAAAAAAATCACTGAAAATTAAGAGTTACCTGGTGAGGGGCAGTGGTGTGAGGCTTCCCAGCATCTTGTGGCTTTATTTTGCTTTTGGACTTAAATTAAATGTCCAGTTATATGTCTGGGGGTGTTCAGCATGAGCCAGGTAAATCCATTTCTGACCAAATTTGGGATCCGTTGCCATGGCTGAGCTGCTGGAGAAGCCAAACGGCCCTGAGGAGGGGAGGTGGCTCCAGCTGAGCACGCAGCACTCCCAGGCACAAACCCACATGGCCTTTTCCTGAAGCAAATATGTATTTGTGTTGTCCCAAGAGTCACCCTGTGGCCCTCAGCACCATCCTCACAGTAATGCCACTGTCTCGGCTCTGGAGAGGAGCTGGAAAACAGTAATTGCCAAAGGAGGCCACGAGGATGGGGAAGGGCCTGGATTTGAAGCCGTGTGAGGACACTGAGGGCACTTGGTGTGTTCAGCTGGAGAAGAGGAGACTGAGGGGAGACCTCCCTGCAGTTCCAACTGCCTGGGCAGGGGCAGAGGAGGGGCAGGACTGAGCTCTGCTCTGGGGGGACCAGGGACAGCCCCCAGGGAATGGCTGGAGCTGTGTCAGGGCAGGCTCAGGGTGGATCTCAGCAAAAGGTTCTTCCCCCAGAGGGTGGTTGGCACTGAACAGGCTCCCCAGGGCAGTGGGCACAGCCCCAAGGCTGCCAGAGCTCCAGGAGGCTTTGGCTGATCCTCTGGGGCACAGGGGGTGACTCTTGGGGCTGGGCCTGTGCAGGGCCAGGGGTTGGACTGGATGGTCCTTGTGGGTCCCTCCCAACTCAGCTATTCTGGGATTGTGTGATAAGGGAAGACAGAGGTGCCAGTTCCTGGTATTTGGGAATGCTCTGAGCTCAGAGCAGTGCCGGGCAGTGCCTGCCTGGGACAGGACAGTGGGCACACCTGGCACACCTGGGCAGGATGCTCTGGCCAGGGAGACCATCCCCAAATCCCATCCTGCACCAGGGGCCAGCCACTTGGAGCAAAGCTTGCCCTTGAAGGAAGGGATTTCCCAGGAGGAGTCAGCTCCATGAAGAGCAGTTCCCCAGGGTGCTGCAGGATCGGGCTCTGTGCTCATGAATCCCCCGGGGCCACCGAGGAAGCCCCAGAGGGGCTGCAAACAGCCAGCTGAGGGCTGATGGATTCCCACTGCCTCCCACCGAGGCTGCCCACAATCCATCAATTACCTATCTGCTTAGTCCTTTTCTCCAGCCTTTTACAATCTAAATAGCACATTTTATAGTCGCTGCTAAGTGATGTGATCAACATCAATTACCTACTAAAAGAGAATCAAGTCTTGATTTAAAATTAAGTGCTGCATTTTTCCATGTTCTTTATATGTAGCCAACAGAATAATTGCAGTGACATAAAAACTAATTACACAACTCCACAATTAGGCCTCCCTCCTAGTGCTGTGATTGTCTTTAAGTACATTGATGAAAAATTACTCCCAGCCCTAAATTACTCTCTCACACCCATCTCCTCCAATACCTTTGAAAAAAACCCTCCACCCCATCAGATCAAACAGAACTTGAGATACACAAGATAACACATGCAGAGAGTGTTTTCTCATCTCCTGGCTGTGGGAGCAGTTTCAGATGCAGGATTAGGCTGGGATTGCCTGGGGATGCAGCACTGCTGCTCTGTGGATGGACTGAGCATCTCAGCAGGGCTTCCCAAACCACCTGGGCCTGCCACAGCCAGGGAGCAAATCCTCTTCCCTGTGTTCCAGCTGACATTTGACTCCTGGGCTGAAAGCAGGGGCCAGTCCTGCCCAGCTGCCAGCCTGGGGCTCTCTGTGGGGAGGGGTTTTATTGCTGTGCCTGAAAGAGGGGAACACCCGGCTTCAGAGAGAGGGGGATTATCCCATCAGTGCTGTTCCAGCTGGCAGGAACGAGGGGTAGAGCTGGACCCAGCTCACCTGCCCCACTGCAGAGATGACAGAGGGGTTGGGCAGAGGTGGAGCCACGTCCTGGGCTGTGGCCTTGATGCTCTGGGAGCACAGAGGGCCAAGGGAAGGAGGAGGAAGAGGCTGGAACAGGGCAAGGCAAAGCCCAGGAGTTCCACGGAGCCAGCAAGCCTGCTGGCTGAGAAACCACAACCCCCAAGAAAAATCATAAACCTCAATAAAGCTCCTGATGGGCTTTGTGGGATTTGATTCCAGATTATGTTTTTGAGGTGTTTACAACCAACCTGGAAAGACTGAAAACATTCAATTACTGGAAAGGAAAGCTGAGATCTGCTCACAGTCAATCTCCTGCCTCCAGGATCTCTGGGGGTGCCAGCAGCAAAGCACAGCACACAGCTGAGCAGAGCCATGGGGGCACCAGCCCAGGGGGCTGTGCCATCCCTTCAGTGGTCACCTGCTGTCCCTGAGCATCCTCAGCTGGATAATGAAGCACTGCAGGTTTAATTTTGGGGTTGGTTGGGTGGGTTTGGCTGCTGTGTGGCGGATCCCATGGGCTGCTCCTCAGCCACAGCCCAGCTCTTGCCAGGGAGGGCTGCACAGCTCCTGGTTGTGGATTTTCCATCATTTCTGCAATGCCATCACTCAGTCACCATCGGGAGAGGGGCAGGAAGTGCTTTGGCATCTGGTTTTAATCAGCACAGTGCTGGGAGTGAACGAGGCCCAGGGAGCCATGGGGTCACGCCTGCAGCAGCCCAGCATTCCCTGTGCCTTTCCTGACTCTCTCACCTCATCCTCAGCATGGGCCAGGGGTGCCAAGCCTGTGAATTGACACCCTTGTATCTACCTGAAACCTCACAACCTCCCTCAAAATATGTGAAAAATAAAGGTGCTGAAGCAGCCTGTGGCAGGGATGTGGTACGTGATGTGTGAGGCCAACAGTATCTCCTGATCCTGGTGAGTATCCCCTCCTGTCCCTCCCTATTCCCCAGCACCCATCCCAAATTCTCCCTCTTCTTTGCCCTGTACCCATCCTGAATATCCTCTCCTTGTTCCCCAGCACCCATTTCAAATGTCCCCTCCTGCCTCCAGCACCCATCCCAAATATCCCCCCCTTCTCTCCCAGCACTGGTGCCAGGGCACCTGAGGACACCCCAGCCCGGGCAGTTGAACCCCCCGGCCCAGCCCCCTTCCCTGGCTGCTCTCCCTGCCGGGGGCTCCGGGCTGCCCTCCCGCTGCCCCTGCTCCTGGGAGCCCATCAACCCCCCAGCCACCACACACGAGTGAGGGCCCCAGAGCGGCCCGAACGGCAGCAGGGGATGTTCGGCAAAGCCGCTTGTTCCACACAATTTCCGTAACATGGAATCCCTGAGGTTGGAAAAGCCCTCCCAGCCCATGGATCCCCCCTGTGCCCCATCCCCACCCTGTCCCCAGCCCAGAGCACTGAGTGCCACGGCCAGGCCTGCCTTGGACACCTCCAGGGCTGGGCACTCCAAACCTTCCTGGGCAGTCCCTGCCAGGGCCTGACCACCCTTTCCAGGTAGAAATTCCTGCTGATGTCCCACCTGACCACCCTTTCCAGCAGAAATTCCTCCTGATGTCCCACCTGACCACCCTTTCCATGAGAAATTCCTGCTGATGTCCCACCTGACCACCCTTTCCAGCAGAAATTCCTCCTCATGTCCCACCTGAGCCTCCCCGGCACGGGGGGCGGGCCCAAAGGGAGGGGCGTGGCCTAGCTCCGTGCTGATTGGGCGGGGCGCGGCGAGGGGGCGGGGCCGAGCGGAGCGTGCGCAGTGCGGAGCGGTGAGTGGGGGGGGTCGTGGCGGGCGGACCCGCCGGGCTCTGAGGGGCCGGGATCGTGTCCCTGTCCCCGTCCCTGTCCCTTGTCCTTGTCCCTGTCCCGGGGCAGCAGCGCGGCCCCTCTGGGCACGGGCCGCCGCCTTCCCCGCGCTGCCGCTGCCCTCGTTCGAGCGGAGCCGGCGGTGAGGCCTTGGCGGGACCGGGGCTGCCCCGCTCCACCCCGAGCGGCCGTGCCCGGGCAAGGCTGGCAGGGCTGCGGGGGGGGCCCTGTGGTTGCACTTACCCCCGCTCTGGGGCAAGACAGGAATCCCTGACACTGAGGCGGTTGAAACATAAATATCTAAACATAAGTTCCCCCAGACAGGCGCGGTTTGGGTCCTGCCTGGAGCACACTGACCTCCCAGGCAGCTGTGGAATAGAAACGTGCCGGTACCGCTGGAGCAGCTCCAGGACATTAAAATGGATTTTTCTTCAGGGCCTGAATTTTAAAACTCTTTAATTATTTTGGTACAAGCCTGCATATGGCTCTCTGGCTGGAGAACTCGCAAAATTACACGTTGCACAGGGCCGGGGAGCGAATGCTGAGCAAATGGGATTTTGTGTATAAACACTGCTTGGAATGTTGCCTGAAAATGTTTAACTTCAGTGGCTGACTAACACTTGCGCGAGGAGTGATCTTTGACAAAGCAACGGCGCTGCCGCCTCTCAGCACGGCTGGGTTTACACTGACAAGTTTTCTGGATACAGTTTCTTAGGGCAAGTTATTTATTCCGCGGTGTTTGGCTGCTAGAGCTGAGCCAGTCCGAGTGCGGGGCGGAGGCAGAGCCGCCTGTCCCGGCACTGCTGGGTTTGCCTGCCAGAGAAGGGTCATGTGCAGAGGCATTGCCGTGCTGGAGCGTCTGTGCAAGAGCCTGCTCGGAGCACAGCCCTGGCAGGAGCCTTGTAAGTGCAGATAAGTCTCTGGAGGACGTTAGAAGATGATGACACACCCTGTCATTTACCGAACGTGCTGCCGCAGTGTTCCTGCTCCGCGTGAGCCTTCGAATTCATTTGTGCTCTGGGAGCAGCATTGTTAAGGGATGGACTTGTATTTTTCTTTCTTTCCCCCACCCCTGCCTTAAAATGACCAGCCTGGACCACATTGTTTTTCAGCAGGTTCCAGGGCATTTACAGACACGGTGGAAGTATCCAAAATATTATCCCAGAAACTTTAGTGCAGGAGTGCAGCTAATGCAGGTGAGAGCAGTGCTGGACACTCCTGGCTGTGTGACCATGCTTGCTTTTCTTTCTAATTTTGAAGGGATACAAATATGATCCTTTTAAGGAAATCAACTGGAAATAACTCCTTAGGAGTCGTCAGAACAGCCCTTGAACCTGCAGTGCTGTCCCCGTGCCCTAAAGCAGCACGAGAGCAGTTCTGGTGCTACCACCACTACCTCTGTTCTTACAGTTGAAGATTTCTTTAGCCTGAGCAATAAAACACCTGGAAAACTTTCCAGCACCCCCAGAGCTCTCTCTGTGTGCTCCTGCTTGGGCTGGGTAGGTGAAAGCACATCAGCCATACCTTGAGAATTTGCAAGGCAGTGAATTATTGGGATAAATTTAGGGATAACAGTCAGCCTTTCTTTGTGCTAATCCCCTCTGCTCCTGATTCCCTCCGTGGCTTTTATACCCCCCCTCAGCTCTCCCCACTCTGAGAGAGAACATTGAACTTGCGCTCGTGAGGGAGGTGAATCAGCTCTAATTAGGATTTGTTCAGTGCTTTGTTGATAAGTTCTTTGTAAAGCCAGTTGCTATTTCTTTATTAACACGCAGATATTCTTAGCACCTGAAGTGAGAGATGACACAACACTGGGGATCTCTGGGAAGCAGCTCTGCGAGGGGAGACAGTGCCTGCTAACCAAGGCTTTGTCAAATCTATTCTGGCTGTGGTTTACAAGGCGGCTCAGAAAAACCCCAAATCCCCTCGAGTCATTGGGAAATCTTAAATGTTCCTGGAAGTTAAGCCCTGCTTTTGCATGGGATTTGTAGCTCTTACCCCCTTGCTGGATTTCTCCTAAGCTGTCAGTGTGCTGATGGCATCAGCTACTCTCACCTCCTTTGGAACACCTTGTTGCAATTACTTCAGTTGCTTTCAGCAGTGAGCCCCTCAAATTGTCCTGTCTAGGGTAGGGGTGATGACCCTTACGGGCTCCAGCTGGGCACAGAGGTCGGTGGGGCTGTGTGGGGCGAGAGGGCAGGAGGGAAGCTGGGAAGCCCTTCCCCAGGGGTGCATCCCATCCCCGTGCGTGGGAAATGAAGCTGAAGAGCTTCCTTGTGAAAGAGAATGAGGGTGTGAATGGAAGTGGTTACGGTGGTGCTCAGTGCCTGCTGTGTGTGGGTGCCCCTGCAGTGGGATGAGGAGCTCTGTTGTATTTTGGGGAAGAAGAGGCTGTTCATTTGGCTCTGTCACTGCTGTAGGAGTGGCCAGCTGGAGGATGCTGAAATGAAATGCAGGGCTGGAGCAGCCTCCTTGTCCCTGTGTCCTGAGCCGGGTGAGATCCTTGGCTCCAGGCTGAGCAGGGGGGAATGGCAGTGCAGATCTGGGCAGGGGCCGGTTCCCTCTGGGCCTTGATGGAATCCCAGTCTCAGAGAGCCTGATTGCTTGTCCAACTCTCCCTTGCAGCAAACTGAGCAGCCAGTTCAGCTCTTGCTGTCACAGAATGGGGAGCCCAAGGGATGGTTTCCTTCTTGTAAACCCTATTAAGGTCTGAGAGCTGGTACCAGCCCTGGAGGGAGTGGGATGGAGAAACCCCTGTGCAGGTGGTATGGGGTGGTGTGGTTTGCACTGCTGAGTGCTCCACTGGTTGCCCAGATTCTCTGTTCTCTCTGTGACTTAGAGGTGATACCCAGCATGGAGCCCAGAATTGGGAATTTGATGTTCCCAGACCACAGAGATGTTTAGGTCCTCACAGCTGGAGCTGTGCAGTCACAGCACTGGCACATTCAGGCCTGTCCCAGGTTTTCCTCAGCATTCCCCCCATCTGGAGAGCTTTCCCCTGGCCTCTGTTTGTACTCCATCTCTGTGCTGTTTCCAAGTGCAGTTCTTTGCATTGTTTTCCTTGCTTTTCTTTCTATTGATTTGTGGGTGTTTTGGGAACTTTCCTTCCGTTTATCAATTCTGATCATGACCTCCAGAGTGCTTCCAGCTCTTAACTGCTGGGCATCCTTTCAGCTTTTGGAAAAGTGCTTTCTCTGTTGTTCAGGCATTAATTAAAAGGATGAACAGAAGCAGACCTGGGCTGAGCTCTGAGAGCCCAGACACAAGGATTTCTCCTGTGGTGACATGGAATTGCTGGTAGCTACCCCTGAAGTGCGTGGAGTGGAGTTGCTTTGTTGGTCTCTTTTTTCTTGGTTAGTAATGAGCACTGGGCTTCATTAAGGTGAGCTCACCTGCTCTTAGTCCCAGCTCCTCTGCTTTTTGAAAGCATTGGATGGATAGAGTGACAAGCCTGCTTTGTGCTGGTCAGAGGTGTGATGGGCAGGTCTCTGTACAGGGGGATTTGTGCTCTGTTTCTGAAAGCTCAGGTGGTTTTCAAGAGCTTTCAAGAACTTCATTTACCCGCGGCTTCTCGCTGGTGCTCACGAGGACAGGGATGGTTCTGAGGCAATCCCAGAACTCCCTGAGCAGCAGGATATGTGTGGGAAGAATTTGTGTCCAGCATGTGCTGCTCCCCTTTGTTTGTGCACAGGTCTCTCCTCAGTGAGAGCTGAGCTTGCCTACGTGTGACTAAGGCAGTAAAAATACATTTTTCTCCTCAAGCAATTCTAAGTTCCTTGTGTGGTTGCTCTGCTCTGGAAGAATTAAAAATTACTTGCTCTGGAGAAATTAATGACACTCATTTTTATCCTTGGCTAGTGTCACCGTGGGAGAGGTTGCAGGATAACTTATTCCACCAGGCCTCTGCCTCAGTGCCAGTTTTGCTTAAGGAGGAGGAGCTACTTGAGCTGCAGCAGATTTGACTGGTGAAAACACCACTGCCCAGACAGGACCAGCTCTACCCACCCCGAGTTCTGTAAGTACTGAGCTGCTGGGTTCAGCTCTCAGAATTTTAAGAGGTTGGTCCTTTTTTGAAGTACTCTTCCACCCTCTATTCCATCTTTCTTTGCACACTGGTGTCACTGTGGGGTGAAATTTGGGCCCCACTGAATTGAAGGGCAGTGTTTCTCTGTGGGGTTCGTCTCTCCCTCCTCTCCTCACTGGTAACTTGAGGTACCTGTCCACAGCTGTTCCTTCCAACTGTGCTTCAGGGACACCATCAGCGGGGTGGAGATGCTGTGCCCTGTTTGTTCTCCTGTATGGTCCATGGCTGATGGTTGAGTCATAGGATCATGGAATATCCTGAGTTGGAAGGGGCCCGCAAGCATCACTGAGTCCACCTCAGTGGGTGCTCTGACTAATTTTCAGTTCCAGGGGAGAAAATTCTGGCCTCCCTAAAGCGTTCGTATGGTTTCTGTTGAATTCTTCCTTACTTCTCTCTGGGGGGCTGTGTGCTGTAGTTAAATATGGGTAGAAAGGTGGTGTTCCACTCTGGATTACAGCAGAATCTCAGTGATGGATAAATTGCATCCCAAGCCCAGTTTGGAAAGCCCTTTGGGTTTTGTGGGCTGCGAGAAGCTGTATTTTATTCTAGATGTGTGCTTGCTGATAATTCTATAGGATTTGCAGTCAGCAGGTTGTAAGAGCCCTGATTATACCAGTTCCCTGTGCAGTTAGACTCTGCCCAAATAATTCAAGTGCCTGCTGCAGAGAGACAAAAAGGAAGATGGAAGGATGATTTAGAAACCTTTGGATCACTGGAGCAGGTGGGAGGAAGAGGCATATGTTGATCTGAAGAAAATACCAAGCCAGGTATATACCTTTAAGCATCTGAAGAAAACTCAGGATTTTCTTAATGGCTGCCTACTTTAATAATTCCTTTAACGAGGGGTTTTAAGGGTTTAACTTAATTTTAGAATTTTTATTTCAGGCGTACGTCCATAAAATTAACTTCTTTATCACAGAATGCTGTAATGTCTTCCATGTTGCTGCTCATTTACAAGAAATCTCTGCACAGTTATTTCTTATGTACCAGCTAAATCTATCAGCCAACAGATGTCAAGTGTAGCAAAATGCTATAATAATATTATGGTCTAATAATAGTTATAATGATTCTAATTACCTGGTGCAGCTTCTGAGAGAGGCAGTTTCAGAAGTCAGTGCAAAGGAGGTGTTTAACCTTGAACTGCAGGAGCAGGGCCCTTCAGAGGTGCCTGGGCTGCACCCCTGTCTCCATATTGGACATCCCATCCCCTTTATTTCCTCTGGCAAACTGGGATTGGCAGTCTGGTGTGCTTCAGGTGTTCAGACTTCATTGTGGCTGTGTTCAGAGGAGGAGAGGAGTGTCTTGGAATACTGGGATGTGAACCTGCTCATTGTCACCCTCTGGTGCTCCCGCTGCCTGAACACGGTGGTACCCCTGGATTGCTCCCACCTCAGGAAGGCTGTGGAGCCTCAGCGACCTCCATCCTTTATGCCAGCTGGTTGTGTTGCTTTAAAGTGTCAGGAGAGGCTTTGCCACAGCCTGGAAAGCACAAAGCCAACCTGAATCTGCCTGATGAGGGAGCGTTTGGGGGTGTCCAGGTGAGTGGCCTTGACTTGTTGATCCCAGTGGAGCCTTTGGTGTGGGAGGAGAGGAGGGCACTGGGCTGTGCTGGCTCTGCCTTCCACTGTCTGGCCCCCACAGCCTCATCAGAACCTCTTTCCCCACATACTCCCTGTGCCAGCTCTGTTGTGTCACTCCCAGTGACCCTATACCACCATACTGTTCCTTTAGAAAGGATCCTGGGCTGTATTTTTTGTATTCTGGTGGTTGTTGCCCAACACTTCTATGTGCTGTTAGTGCCGTGGGGTCCCAGAGCTCGTTACTGGTGTAGGACAGATAAGGCAATGCGTAAGGGATCACCGAATTCTGTGACATGAAGTTGCTGAGGAGTCCCTGGTTCCCAGAGCAGGATCATTTCCACAGAGGAAGCCCTGCATGGGCTGGAATTTGACAGCTTTCAATGATTATGTGCCAGGCTGAACGTTTTTCTTCTAAATTATAGATTCACGTGCTGATGAGAACTCAGCAGGACCTACGGGAATGTGTCTCTTGCTTGCTGATCCCTGGTATGGGCAGCAGCTGGGAATCTTCTGTTTTCCTGTAAAATGGATCCAGGGGTGCCCTTGGAACGTTTTCTTCTTTATTTCCAGCCTGTTTGTAGGCTGGCATGCTTTGCTTCTGGGGAAAGCCAGCACATCGGGCCAGGGCGTGTGCTGATGAGAGCTCGGCCATTTTCAGGCTGTCCTTGGGGGGCAGGTTCAGCCTGTCCTTTGGGGGCAGGTTGAGGGCTGTCCTTTGGGGGCAGGTTCAGGGCTGTCCTTTGGGGGCAGGTTCAGGGCTGTCCTTTGGGGGCAGGTTCAGGGCTGTCCTTTGGGGGCAGGTTCAGGGCTGTCCTTTGGGGGCAGGTTCAGGGCTGTCCTTTGGGGGCAGGTTCAGGGCTGTCCTTTGGGGGCAGGTTCAGGGCTGTCCTTTGGGGGCAGGTTCAGCCTGTCCTTTGGGGACAGGTTCAGGGCTGTCCTTTAGGGGCAGGTTCAGGGCTGTCCTTTGGGGGCAGGTTCAGCCTGTCCTTTGGGGGCAGGTTCAGGGCTGTCCTTTGGGGGCAGGTTCAACCTGTCCTTTGGGGGCAGGTTCAGCCTGTCCTTTGGGGGCAGGTTCAGCCTGTCCTTTGGGGGCAGGTTCAGCCTGTCCTTTGGGGGCAGGTTCAGCCTGTCCTTGGGGGAAGTTTGCCTTCTTGCTGAAGTCAGTACCTGTGCTGTGCATCACCATGGAGATGAGGCCAGAGGAGCTGCAGGGCACAGCCTTTCCCAGGCTCACAGGAAGGAGGATGTGGTAACGGGCTGTCCTTGTTTAGGAGAAAATGATTTCTCAGAGTAAATAAATCGTCAAAGAACACTTGGCATCACCCCAGGTGCTATTAAGGAAAAGATCTCTTCAAACCAGAGCTGTAAGGTTCATGCAATATTCACTCGCTTTTCAGACACTGCTTTGCGTTGTTCCACACCGGGCGATGCCGCCGTGCCCAGCGCTGACTCACTAACCCACTTGTGCTTCTACTTACCCTGAGATGCCAAACCTCCTGCTGCTTTTCTTCTCCCTGTATATATATTTCTCATCCTGCCACAAGAGCACCTTCCTTGTGGATGACAAGTCGACCATGAGCTGGCAGTGTGCTCTTGTGGCTGGGAGAGCCAGTGGGATCCTGGGTTTCATCAGGAAGAGCATTGGAGCAGCGCAGGGAGGGGATCCTGCCCCTCTGCCCAGCCCTGGGGAGGCACATCTGAAGTGCTGGGCCCAGCTCTGGCTCCTCAGCACAAGAAAGACAAGGAGCTACTGGAGAGGGTGATGAGGGGTCTGGAGCATCTCTCTTATGAGGAGAGACTGTGGGAGCTGGGCCTGACTAGTCTAGAGAAGACTGAGGGGATCTCCTCCATGCATATAAATATCTCAAAGGTGGGTGTCAGGAGGATGGTGCCAGACTCTTCAGAGGTGCCCAGTGACAGGACGAGGAGTAATGGCATAAACTAAAACACAAGAAGTTTCACCTCAGCAAGAACTTTCCATGGAGAGCGGCAGAGCACTGGAACAGGGGCTCAGGGAGGGCCTGGGGTCTCCCTGTCTGGAGGCATTCCAAACCCACCTGGACATGTTCCTGTGTCACCTGCTCCAGGTGACCCTGCCTTGGCAGGGGGGTTGGACTAGATGATGAGGCCCTTTCCAAACCAGACTATTCTGTGATTCCTACATCCCTTTTCTCGTCCCTCTGAGTGTCCAGGTTTTCACTGCTCCGAGTTGGTTGCAGGGCTTCACTTCCCCATGACTGGTTGGGTTTCCAAAGGATGTGAAGGGTGTGTGGGTGCACTGAGCTCTCCTGCATGCAGAAACACCTCCCTGGGTTAGCAGGCTGTGCCAACACCCCCCAACCCCTGTCTGCTCATGCTGACATCCCTGGGGGCTTGGGGACAGTGCCCTTTCCTCTTGCCCACCCCAGTGCACTCTTTCCTTGTGTAGTTTCTGGGACACAGAGAACTGTCCTAACAAGGTCTTGGAAGAGCCCTCTGGCCCCTCTCTGCCTCATTGCCTCCACGTCTCATTACAGACTTCATCTGTAAACATTTCCTTGCCCTTGCTAAACACTGTGTCTCTTAATTTCTCTCTGCAAGAGTATTATTTAATTTGTAACTGTTTTAGGACGTTATTTGAAAAATCCGATATGAAGCTGTATTTCATTTACTGTAATGATCCACTAATGCGGGCATATTTCAAAGGCAGGCCATGCAGTACTGTGGGGTTTAATTAAATTTTGTTTTTCAAGTAAGCATCAATAGACAGACAATAACAAATGGTGGACAATATGCATGCAGAACAAAGTCACTCCATTTTCTTTTCCAAGACCATGGAAGTGAAAATGCATAGCCCTTAAAATGGACTTGGCCTGCTCACAATTGCTGCTTTAGTGCAGTTAACTCACTTTAGGAGGAGTTTTTTCTTCTTCCTTTGACTTAATTAATTTTCTTGCTCTCTTCCTGCCCACAGAATAAACTGTTACACTGTGGAAAATTTCCAGAAGGAGCTGTGGGTGCTCTAAGTGCTGCTGCAAGCTCTGGACTCGGTTTTGAATATTGTGTTGTTGAGTAGTGTGTGATGGCTTGTCCAGAAAGGCCCTCATCAGGGTGACAGAGTGGAAGGGCTGGGTGTGAGGTCCTTGTTCTGTCTCTGGTGACTGGACAGGGAGGGTACTGGGAAGGAAACATGATGTTGCTGCATCCAGCATTGTTGTACCCAGATCAGGAATCACCAAGTGGCTCTTGAGTGCATTTCATTCCTTTCCTTCCAGCGAGTGTGGGGTAGTCAAGTACACCATGGGTGTGGAGAAGCTCGGGAAGCCCGTTCCAGGTCAGCAGGAGGCTGCTGGGAATCATCATGGCACTGAC